TAGAAAAATAATATGTCAATATTTTCTTTTCTCTTTAAATGTAAATCTATCCTGAGTATTCACATACAACAAAACATGTGTTTAGATTCTTGTCGCGATTCCCCAAGGAAGAAACATGGATTGACTGTGTTTTCTTGATGGCTAAGTGTTAAATAAAGATTTTCAATGCTCAGAATTCATTTTCACCACCTTAGAAAAACAGTATTACTATTTAAATTTTGAATAAGTAGTATATTTACTCCATGATTTAGAAAAATGTAAAAAAATGCATTAGAATACTTTGTATCTGTCTGGTTCCTATTCCCTTCTCCGGAACAGTAAACATTTTTAGTACTTTTATATGTATTATGTGATAATCTTGTCATGTGTTTATAAGCAAAAAAGAAAATTTGCTCATATTCTCATCTGTATATAATGGGGTGTATTATCTACATTGCTCTTTACTAGGCTTTTTTTTCGTTAATCACAGAGAGCTTCCTAGTTCTTTGTTACAGTGTTGGTATTACATTTACTATATAAATGTAAATTTATTTAACCAGTCTTCTACTTATGGATGTTTGAGTTATTTTTTTTTAATCTTTCAAACAAATTTGCAATGAAAACCCCTCTATAGTTGTCATTTTACACCCATGTAGGATTCATAATAGGATAAGTTCTTGCTTACCAGCTATGAATTCAACAGTTTGTACTAAGGTATGTTAGAGAAGACTTCTCGAAAAGCTTTTATGTTCTCAAACATCAATTTGAGTACATGAAATTATGCAGACAGAAGTGACCAGAATCATTTTAAATGCTTGAATAAGAATCTTAGTATCGAAAACTGCATCATGATGTACAGATCTTAATGACTTCTATCAAATCTGAAGCAGAGCAGTGTTTGTGTTCTAGGTGTGATGGTTTGGGTTTTCATGGCTGGACACTTAAGAGCTGATGCTCATAAATGGGGTTCCCCCAACTCTTGAAATTCTGGTTCTCTGGCCATTAAGAAAGCCTGAGAGGAAAAGAGGCTGGCATGTGGACAGCTCGGGTTTTACTGAAGCAGTCGCATTCCCTCCCCTGCTTCTTTAATTAGATGGAGTTAACACCCTGAAACTTAACTGCCACTGAAGGTGAAACAGCAACCAGGCAAAGCACAAATGAGAAAGCAGCTAAGAACCAGGGGACTTGCTTGACTGGAATGCAATCAAATTTGGATAGTTGGTGTTTTCCAGGGTGTACCTTGGCAAAAATGACTTAAGTTCATTTTAGAGTGATCTTAGCAGCATTCTCAATATAGTCTTGAGTCCTAGAGAATTTTCTAAACCTTCAAAATATATATATGCCCTGATAGAACAGTTCTAAATTATGGAAATAGGACTTTTATAAGCACAAATATCATTTTGTTACCAAAAGTTAAAGCAACCAAAACATAAAGGAAATGTATAGATATCAACCTAGCTTGTGTCCTTAAGCCATCTGAATCCTCAGCAACAAGCTAGTGAACAGCTTATACTGTTGTCCTAACATATATGAAACAATTAAGAGTTTGTCTCAGGAATTTGAGCCACTATGGCATAAGAAAAGCCTTTAACAACATTTATCAAATTAAAATAAAAATCAGTAAAAAGTCATAATGGTTTTGGAGGCCTTATAAGGAGTCAGCAAATCCAACTCGTTTTTTAAATACTTAAAAAAAATATTGATAGATTCTTAATATGATACAAGTGTATTATTTTAATATCTATGTCCATTGAAAAACACTAGACTTAATCTCCTTAAAACAAGAGATAAGGCTATCTCCCTGTCTTTAAAATAATATTAGAAATAGAATCAGTCATTCAATAAGAAAAATAAATATAAAAGAAGGTATATTACATACATAAAGTCAAAGAATTTAGCAAAACAATATTACTAGCAAATATTTTTAGGAGAATCATAAGATAAATTTTAAAAATCTTGGTAACACAATGAAAAATATTTAGTTCACAAATGAGTCAAATACTTAACTATTACCTGACTTTAAAAGATAATTTGAAGAAAAATAAAGAATTTGGTGCTACAAAGGGAGTACCTGTATTCCAAACCTATGTGTGAAAAACAATGTTTAATGTATTAATTTACACTTAATTCAATGTTATATTCCTTATGTAATAACTTACTAAAACTTGTTCAGTTAATATTAAAATTTATCTGAAAGACTAAGTAGGCAAGAATCTTAAAGAATATTCTCCAAAACTGTTAATATGAAAGAGTTACCTCTTAAATTTTGCAAATAATTATAACCTAATAGTTTTAAAACTCTGATATTGTGTTAAATTATAAAATTGATTACCATGTAACTTCTAGAAAGAGAATCAAATGTTAAAGAATCAAGAAATGAACTCAAAGCAATGTATCATATAGCATTGATATTAATCAGGAGAATCAACTTATATCTACGTATGTTGTTGTAAATTCTAGATGGTCGGAGAGTTAAAAGATGTTTATTGCCATTCTGTTTGTATAAAATATATAAAACACTATATAAAACATAGATGTTTATATGTAGGCTTATTGAAATGAAGAGTACTTAGATAATGGGCTTGAATGTATTAAAGGAACAGTTTATCCAGATTATTGCATAAATGTTTTATTTTTAGTTATGAAATACGTTATATCTCTACCACATTCTCCAGTTTCCAAAATGCATGGGAGTAGAGTCTTGGCATCAGAGGCCTGGGCTCTGACTTGGACTCTGTCCCATAGAAGCTGTCTACACCCTTCACATCCTTGAATCTCACCTTCCCTATCAAGAGTTACTGGGAGGATCAAAAGAGAGGAAAGTGAGACACTAGGAACAACAAAACACCATATTAATTATTATTATATGTTTTATGACAAAAATAATTTCTAAGAATATTTTAGGAAATAACATAAAATAAAGCTGCAGTCCCCAGTCTTTTTGGTACCAGTGATTGGTGCTCCTATGAGAATCGAATGCCTGATGATCTGAGGTGGAGCGAAGGCGGTGATGCTGGCGCTGGGAAGCAGCTGCAAATACAGATGAAGGTTTGCTAGCTCTCCCGCTGCTCACTTCCTGCTGTGCAACCTGGGTTCCTAACAGGCCACCGACTGGTACCATTCTACGGCCTAGGGCTTGGGAACCCTTGAAATAAAGGAATACTAATCTCAGCTATTTTGACACATTCTAAAATACTTAGATTTTTTTAATTTAGTGACTGTGAAGTTATTCCTCCTTCAGGTCTTTAATATTATGACTTTTAACTTACTTTCTCCATCTACTGGGGAATTGACAATTATTGATAAACAAATAGTAATTGCTTATAAAGAATAAGGCAAAAAAAAGATGAATTGCTGCCATTTGCAACAACATGGATGGATCTTGAGATTATCGTGCCAAGCAAAAGAAGACACAGAAAGTTGAGAAGTATATCATTTCATATGTGGGATATAAAACTGAAAGTAGCAAATGAACAAGACAAACAAAAACTCAAACACAGACAACAGTTTAGTGGTTACTAGTGGGAAGGTGGAAAGAGGGAGAAATAGATAAGGGTAATATATGGTGACAGAAGGAGATTTGACTTTGGGTGATGAACACACAGTGCAATATACGGGTAACGTATTGAATTATACAATTGAAACCTATGTAATTTTATTAACCAATGTCATCCTGATAAATTTAATTAAAAAAGATTAATGGACAAACTCTTCCCCTCTTTTCAAGTATTTTAAAAACAACAGATATCTTAGTCATTTTATAATTGAGAATTATCAAGTATTAATACAGATACGAATTGTTTAACCATAGAAAGCAAGCATAGAAAAGAAAAGCCTTTTTCCATTTTTAACTTAAAGAGCATATTGAGTGTATTTTGCCATTAGTTCTTGGAACATGAATACTGAGGTTCTTTGTTTATTTTCCTTTAAGAAATTACTGTAATTTTCTTTTCCCTGAAAAATTAGAGAAAACAATCGCTGTGTATTAAATTGTCTTAGGTTTGTTTGTTACTACAGAATGTAGATGCCATAGGGAATGCCTCTGAAAATAAGGAAACATTTGGGTTTTTTTTATTAGCTTCTTGTGTCTTTTTTTTTTTTTTTTTTTTTCAGATTTAGATTTGTTTTGATTATTTGGCCTACTTATTTCAAGAAGCTAAGCAGCTCGTTTCCTGTTTTTCCAGTTCAGTTTGATATTTAAAGTGACTGAGATATTTGGAATGGTTCCAAAACTGAACAATTTTTCATTTAAAATAAAGCAGAGTAATTCCCAGGGCACCTTGGTGTAGAAAGTGAAAATCACTTGGCAGGGCATCTCAGATGGATCTGAGTATTAGCATGAGCTTTTAAAAAATTATTTAACCAGTATTACTACTTGGAGAGGGAAAAAAACAGCAAGTTTAGTCAAAAGTATAGTACTCTTTAACAATGAACTTAAAGATAAGGGGCAAAATATATTCATTAAATAGTCAATGAACGTGATGATTTATTAGAGATTAGGAAATAAGTCATCCATAGTATAAATCTTTGTAATGACTAGGATGTCAGCAAGTAAAGGATGGAAAGTTCATTTAAAAAAAAAAAAAGTACGGGAGGAGAGAAAGGCATTTAAAGTCCAATAATTTGTGTTTTTGTGTCAGCATATGTGACCAGGATATAGAGTTAGGGTACTTGTGACAGTCAGGTTTCTGTACCAGTTTACCTAGAAAATTAGAAACTATGAAAACATTAGTTTGCACACAGTTTTCCTGTTTCTGGATTGCTAAATCTATTTGTTTCATGTACATAATTCTCTACTCCATGGAAATCTTTAAAATCTGAATTTAAGTCATTGTCTGTGTTTATGAATTCCAAACATTTAGATATGTGATTAATTCCAGCTCTCATCCATATGCTTTCCTTATATAAACATAAGTTAAATGCATTTCTGTGGCTTATTTTATGGTATTTGAATGTATATAGTGATTATTATAAAAATCAAAATCATATATTTTACAACTAATTATTAATTCCTTTTGCAGTTGAAAAGGGAAGGCAAAAGAATCCCAGAAGTTTATGTATCCAGACACAGACATCTCCAGATGTTTTGTCCTCTGAAAAAACACTTGAGTTGGCTCAATATAAAGCAAAATGTGAAAACCAAAGTGGATTTATCCTGCAGCTCAAGCGGCTTCTTTCCTGTGGACACATCAAGTTTGAAGCATTAACAGTTGTGATTCAGCACCTACTGTCTGAGGTAAGGCGGTATACACTCTAAGCAATCTTTCTCACTGAGTTGGGGGGCAGGAACTGAGGGGGGCAATGCTCATGCTCTTGTAAATATCTTTAAATTAATGATTGGTAAGATCAGACAGAATTCATCTAGTTATGCTTTTGCCAACTCAGTATTTGAGTTACTCTAGAAATTCGAGATGGAAACATTTCTAGTAGGTACTTTTCTTCTCTACAATCTCTTAGACCAACAGTAGCTAAAAGATGATTGCCCATTATACTTCTGTGCACCTCCAGACTATATTAGCATTAGCATTTTTTCATTAAAGTTTTTGGCTAACTCTATGTATATTTCCATATCACAGTTTAATGCTTTGAAAAAAACGAGGTTGATTACATCTGTGGGTCAAAGGATACTTTTGAGGTAACTCCCAGTATTGCTCTGGAGACTCTTAAGAATTTTTATCCATTCCAAAAACAGTTTGTGGTACAACAAACGCAAAACAGATTTTCTGTGCTTACTCTTCCTTGGTATACTACAAGGATGTCAATTCAGGAACTAGTTAAAATTCATTGAGAAGACCAAGTTTCTATAAACATATGTTCCTGGCATAGTGACAAAAACTATTATCTGAAGGGAAACACGGGGGTGAGAATGTAACTTGAACTCTCGAGGTTTTTTTTAATCACAGTTTTAAAGATGGGCATACATGAAATCTCAAGATGAAAACTGATCAATTTCCTTGTATTATAGTTCAGTTCAATCCAGCAAACCTATTTTTCCCATAGAGGCTACTCTGATGTGGCCGCCTATGTGTGGCAGGGGAGACAGAAATGAGTGAGATTTGGTCCGTGCCTTTGACAAGCTACCACGCCAGTAGACAGTTTAGATCATATTTGATGAACATTTTATAGCTTTGTCCAAATATATATTTTTTGAGAGGGAGAGGGAGACATTTACATCATTTTTAAGTTACGGCAGTACATAGTATTTATTTTTTCTTTAATGTGTAAGGAATTCTACAGTTGTTATATAACCAAGTAAGCTAAATTGGAAACCATGTAATATCAAATTTAAGGAACAATTAGTTTGTCTATTTAGTTATAAACCACTTACTCATTATTTCTAGCTTAACAACCCCATGTTCAACTCTTCTCGCTCCTTTATCTCCCACGTGAAATCAGTCATCAAATTCTGTGAACTCTCATCCCTCAGTGTTTCTTGCCTTCATCCCCTCTTTTCTATTCCTACTGATGCAAACCTTGTTCAGATCCTGGATAGTTGTCCACTAGATTATGGTACTAACAGCTTAAACCAGTCTTCAGGCTTATACTCACTCCCCTATTATTCATCCCAAGCACTGCTGACAGATTCATCTTTCCAAAGCTTTTCTGCTCTACTGATTAAAACCTTCAGTGGTTCTCCATTCTCTACAGCTCACCTGTTCCATGTGGGAGCCACCAGCATCATGAAGCTATTGAGCACTTGAAGTATACATAGTCAGGCTGATTTGGGATAGGCAGTAAACATAAAATACACATGTATTTTGAAGACTTCATATAAAAAAAGGTGTAAAATATCTTGTTGATAATTTTCTATTGACTAGATGTTGAAATGGTAATATTTTGGATATGCTGAGTTAAATAAAATATATCAATAAAATTTTAAACTTTTAAAATATGGCTACTAGGAAATTAAAATTATGTACATGGCTCACATTATATTTCTTTTGGATGAGTCTGATAAATAACTTGGAATGTGAGATTCTCTTTAATTTGGCACCAACTGCCATTTTTAACCTTACCCTCACTGCCTGATGTTCCAGCTATATGATAGGGAAGAAGAGGAGAAGCAAGAGGGATTTGACATTTGTTGAATATTTACTAAGTGCCAGACAGTCTTACTTATTAAATCCTCCCCAAAAAACACAAGTTGGAATTTACAAATAAGAAAATTGAGACACAAATCTGTTAAGAAACTTGACTACCATTAGAGAGCTAGTGAGGGGGGGATCAGGAATTAAACTCAGGTATAGGAATTAAAAATCCCCTATAAACTTCCCGTGTTTTTTCATCCTTTGTTCAAGTACCATTACAAGGTACCACTCTTCCTGCTAATACATACATGTTCAGATCTTCCTTATAATGGCATCCCCTCACTACCTGCATTTAATTTACATGGGTTCATTATACAAATAGCCAAAGTAAAAAATGCAATTAAATAGATGAAGCAGTTCTGCCTTTCATGCCCCTCATTGAGCAAAGGCCCAGGAGTGGATCTGAGAGGAAGGCCAGAGTCAGCTCTTCCTTCAGCTGTATTCTCAGTCCCTAAACACCGTGTGGGCGTGAAACTTCTCCACTCTGTGATCCTAGTGTTTAAAGGTACTTTCTTCTCATATGACGAGGCCCCTAAAACACAAGCCAAAGACACTTTATCAGGTACTCAGTTGGAGAAAGAGTCATTCCATGACTATAGGAAAAATCTCACAAGCAGGGCATACTGAGAGATGCTTTGTCAGTCCACAGCAGGGTAAACTCTTAATGAGTTTCAGGGGTACTTTTACTATATGTAAATTTCATCTTACACCTAATCTAGGTCCTAATGCCCATGTAATTGTGACTCCACTGAATTTCTAAAAAGTCAGCTCAAAAACTCCCTCTTTTATGAAGACTGTCTTTGTCTTTCTAGCTCTGCATTCCGTCTAACGTCTGGATTCTAGGAGCACTCACATTTCTCTTTATAGGTAACCATTTAGCACTTCTTTTTGCTTTTTAAGATGGGAAGGTCACTGTGAGCAGGATCTGTGTCTAGTTCTTTCTTAGGCAACCACTCCAGCAACTATGGCAGTGCCTTATGCAAAATAGACACACAGTGTATACCTGAATGAACAAATGGATGAGTAGGGAGAATGAGATTCCAGATGTGAGTTGAACATGTAAAGTCTTTATATAAATGTTCTTTGCTAGCTCTTTATAATCAATCAGCAATTATTTACTGATTGCCTAATGTGTACAGGGCACTGTTACAAAATAGTGGGAAAGAAAAGATATAACCAGGGGAAAAGTTAAGTAATTTCTTCAAAATGATTTTCTCTCTTAACTCTTCATTACAGAAGCGATTGATTAATAGATAAGTAGATAGGTAGATGTAGATTTTGGATGCAAATTGATCTATATATATATTGTTATTGCTAACTTTTTCTCAATGGTTTTAGAGCTTTAGATTATTGGTAAAAATGGTTGATTATAGGAGACAGTGGAACTATTGCTTATCATCTTGTTGCAATAACCACAACTTTCCCACTTTAGTGGCAGACAAAGTTCATTATATAGCAGAAGTTTTAATAAATGTCTCAAGACTCTGGAAACTAATACCATACTTTCTGTTTCTCAAAGGACACACTATTGTTTTAGTTTGTTGCATTTCTTGGTTTATCCTTGCATAGCTGTGCAGTATTCTGTACAGACCACCGAAGTGAGGGACAGTTTTGATGGTTGTAATTTCAATTTCTTCATAAAAGGGTCTATGGATGAGTTTCTAGGTAAGCCTGAACAGGACCGAAGTAACCCCCCAAATCTCTGAATTATTATGTAGTGCACCTCCAGTTCTATTTTTGCCTAAAGCAGCTCCTAAACAAAGGTGAATTTTGAATGACACTAGCAGTCTACTATAAGTAAAATTGTCTTAGAACAAGAAAAGTGGACACAATGCATCATGTGGACGTTGGGGAGGGGATCAGACATAGCACACGTCTGAGCCATCTGAAGCAGCTCTTTTCTGCAACGCCCTGTGATGCTGTTATTCTTCAGTGGCCAGGAAATTCAGACCCGCTGATGGGATGCTGGCCAGAGACTAAGTGCCTGTGTCCCAGGGACTCCTAATTAAATTATGGCAAATCCATTTTTTTTTTCCGGGGAGCACTGCATATGTTTAATGTATGAGTGTAAAAGCATTTTTCTATCCAGAGTCTCACCCTCCCTCTGCATTTTATTATACAAAGAGAATTAAATAAACTTGTTATCTGGATTCTAAAGAGTGTATTATCTAAGACAGAAATGCTGATATAGGAACAGCTGAATAAAAAGAAATAGGCAATCGGTATCTAAGTGACAAAACACATTTTATCATCTGTAAATAAAGGGTAAGTATCTTAAAGGGCAAGCAACCAGAAAGAGTTGGGCAGAAACTAACAGTATATGTTTATTATGGTATGGGCGCTGTGGTCAGTATTTCACATGGTATCATATTTAAATCTCTTGATTCTTCAATTTTCCTGTACTACTTCCCCTTAGATGAGGTCATCTGCTTTGAGACGTGACCAGAGAACTGGGCCTGGGTGTTTTAGTTCTACTTTGGTCCTACGCTTCTCAAAGGCAGGGACCATGTCTTAAATTTCTCATAATTTTTCTCAATATCTCAATATCTCATAATTTTTCTCAATATCTTGTTAATTGGTATTGAATAATAATTTGCCCTCCAATTCAGAAGGGTAAATGTCCTGTCTGGGCAATTGGGGCAGGAGGATGGTGTCCATGATGAACAGTTAGCATTTCCTGTTAGTGGGTTAGGTCAGGGAGACCAGGCATTCCGGAGTGTGGAAGTGGGCCATGCATGGTGAGCATGACTTTGGACAGAAGAAGAGTCAGGAGTCTGAACAGGGGCTGGATGATTGAGGTTCATGGAACTAGGGTGATGTTTATTTTTTTATGCATTCAATGGAAGACTCTTTCTGAGCAAGAGTATTGGTATGTACAAAGAATATGGGATGATAATCTAGCAGCTCTCTGGGCTTTTGACCATCCGGGAATGGGTTAGTTTGGATCTGGACTGGGGTGGAGGTAGCACTAATAGAAAAAGAGCGAGGAATTCGAGACACATTAGGAAGGAAAAACTGACCGGCTTTGGCACAACCCATTTAGACAAAGAAGAGTCAACGATGGCCGCGTGGTTTTCCTGCTGCTGTTACTGGGGTTGACAGAGGCTGGAAGGTATCGATGGCTTCTGGGCATTGTGGACAGGAAGGCTGAGAAGTAAGGTTGGGAGAAATGTCCACATGGGTACTGAAATTTCTTGTCTTCAAATTTCTTTGATAAACAAAAAGATGACCTGGTATTTATTTGTAGTAGGACATAAAAGTTTTCAGAAAATTTCTCCTGGCAATTATATATCAACTTAACTTTTTACGGCAATTTGAAAAGTGATTTAACTTCTTACCAGCTTTTCCTCCTACTAGCAATTTAGTTACCACTAGAAAGTGAATTATAAGCCAGTTCACTGAATGTGTTGCAGGATTGCTCATGGGTGTCTAGTAAAGCTGTGTGGTTTTCTTGTCACTTAGATGACAAAACTTATTGATACTTACTTGAACTAGATTACTAAACAAACAAAGTTAAGTCTTAAATTTAAGAGATTAAGAGTAATATACATTATATGTATTTTAAAACTTTTCTTCCAATTTTATCCAGGTTGATTTTCCTCAAACTTTAATTTCTACATTAGAAAATGCATCACTTGTTCATTTTAAAAACCTGGACTAACCGATTTGTGATTTCAAAACAACTTAATACTGCGTTTTAAGCATTTAGAATACCACTAAGGCCAAAATGTCTCAATGAGAAAGTGTTTCTTAAATTCCAATCACTTAAATGTCCAAATGACAATGATAATTTGTCATTAACTTCCTCAACTCTTTAGAGACTGCAAAGTAAAAAGTAAAAGTTATAAAATAAACCTAATTTCCAACTGTCAAATCATTTCACACTTTTCCTTAAAACACCAGTGGACCATGTTCTAAGCATTCAAATTAAATTTCGCGGAAAACATCTGATTTATAACATCGTTTTAAATTTGAAGTCACAACACACATGCTTTCATTGTTTTTTACGTAGTTCATAAGCTCATTTTGTATACAGGTTTTGGAGACCAAGTTTCTCTTGTCTATTAGTAAGTGTGATAACCTAATGACCTCAATTAGAGAGAGGAATAAAAAGGCTCACAAATCTAAAAATAACTCCATTATCCATGCAGAGAAGGTCAGTTTTTCTTTCCATTGTACCAGCTGATATTTAAGTAAGTGGCAATCGATCAGTCTAATGTCTAGCTCTCATTTTTCATAAATGAAGGGCTGTGGCTTTAAGTAATCGCAGGCTGCCTGTGCCAGAGGCACAAGCTGCAGCATCAGCTTCTGTGAGGAGAGAGGCGGCTGAGGCATACAGTAACCTGCAGGATGTGAAGTAAGGCTAACCCAGGACCAATGGCGCTACTCCTGGTAGAGCTTTGAATGTAGACAGACCGACTGGTGGGTGGCGTGGCCACCTGTGCACTTCTTGGACAGTGCAGGGGGAGGAGGGAGTTAGAGACAGAAGCTGGAAAATGGGCTGCTCCAGCAGCAAAATGTGCCTCTATTCTCCATGTGCAGCAACAAGGGTAATTAGTATTTGTTTATAGTGCTTTTCTGGAAGAATGTCAGGGACTAAGGCAGAGGTTGTCTGGGATTAGGGGGAAATGCTTTGAATGACAAGCAACTTTTGCCTGCAGAGGTTGAGTCTCATGATCTCTGTCTGCAACACTGATCAAGATGCGGCTGGAGCTCTGACCTGGGTGATCTTGCTGAGGGCATTTTCAGAGAGATTTGAATTCTGCTTTTTCTTTTCTTAAATCTTGTGGTAGGGACTGTACTTTGTAAGAAATGGTATCTAATTGCTCTATTTGTGTAAGTATGTGTATGTGTGTGATTGCAATGAGTTGCTGGTCACTTGAAAATTGTTTTTTTGTAAGATCGATAATTGCTTTTTTAATATTGAAAACAACTGCCTGGTTTTCTTCAATTCATTTTTCTAACATCTTCTTAGAATTATAGTTAATCCAAAATATTATAATCCTTAGGAAATAATGTATAGATGAGTAAAATTAATTTTGCCTTTAAAGTATTATTTTTTTCACCATAGCTTTATAACAAACTTTTTGTCTTTTGGAAGTAAAGAATTGTAACAAAACTTTTTTTATTTGCAAATATAGTACAAAGTGCATACAAGTGCATATGTTTAGAACATTAAATATTTATCTTAAACTAATTAGGTCTTTACTGCCCTTGGAGCAGGAGAATGAATTACGTCTTAAGTACAGTATGCATTAGCTGAAAGGTTCTGTGGCTCAAAGTAAATATTTTTAAAGGGCCATTCAGCGCTTCAGATGCAACTTTCACAAAGACCTGAGAAAATACAGATTTTCGAAGCACAAATTTCCTTAACAACTAAGGGACATCTGTGTTTTCGAACGACACAAACTGTTAGCCTAAATGATTCATATCTTGGTCTCTCTGTTCTGAGTCTCATTTTCCTAGTGATAACAAATGTATGCCTTACTGAAAGGGACCCTCTTGAAAACATTAGTAACTTGATGTGTGTTTTCCGCAGCGGGAGGAAGCACTGAAACAACACAAAACCCTATCTCAAGAACTTGTTAACCTCCGGGGAGAGCTAGGTAAGAGCTTTTTCCTTGTTAAGTTTTATGGGGCAAGGGACAAATTAGACAATCTGGTTTGCATGTCTGTACTGTGGCCGGAGTTGCGTGCTGGCGGTTGTTAGCTGTCCCACCCTGGTATCTGTGCAAACACTTACTATCGACATTTCTTTTAAATCTTGGCAGCTTGACCTCAAGTTCACAGAATTCCTGGCACTGATCTTACTAAGCTTAGCAGAGCTACTGATGACCAAAACATTTCTCTTCCTGAAGAGAGGGAATGATTTTGGTAATTGTGTGGATTCCTGTTAAATAATTACATCATTTTTTTTTCTGAACCACTTTTCCTATTAAAGTGTTGAGAAAATTCCCTCGCTGATAACAATTACATTTCACTTTCTCGGGGTGGTTTGTGAGTGGTGAGTATAAAGTTGGAAGGAGCTACATATAGGGGTAGCCTGTCTGAAGAAGGCTCATCCTGTGCTAATCTCATATTCGAATGGGACTGACGGTGAATCAGTCCCAGCTTCACAGGAAGCCACGTGCCTCTAATGTCTGTAGCACTCGCTGCCCAGCTCTGCTGTTCCAGGCTGAACTCTGTTTTAGTTCTTGTCTCTCCTGGAAGAGTCCTCAGGGTTCATGCAACAGAGAAAATCCTGCCTTCTCCACCTCAACATCCGTGTTGGAGTGCACTGACCGCCTTGGGGTTCCCTCTCCGCTGTGGGCACCTCAGCAAAAATCAGCATTTTGCTTTAGCGTCAGCCAGGTCTGGATTTGTTCATTGAAAGGCCGAATTCCTTGCCCTTTGCAGTTTTCTGTGTATGCTAACAGTGTCCATATAAAATGCGTGTAAGTATGTGTGTGAATAATGCAGAGGTGATAACAGAGATAAAAATTGTCTCCATCTAGTTGTAGGAGAAAATGCTCATTTTTCTTCAGACGAGACCAGAATTTAAATATTGGCAATATAATGTGCTGGACTTAGTCTTTTTTCCTCCAGGGCAAAGATCAATCACTGAGTGCGGGGCCAAGACTTCTCTCTGCATTCCTCTTCTCCCTGCATTCTTCTTCTCTTTTCACCTCTCAGTGGGGGACAGTGCTAAACTCCTGGCAAACCCTCCAGATTCTTAATACCTCGACAGGGCATCCTTTTCTCCTGATCTTGTTTTAAGGCTATGGAAATAAAGGACTCTGTTTGGAAAAGTAATTTTAAGACAGACGGGAACTTCTGGACCCCAAAGACTTGAGAATGCTAAGGAAACAGTTCAAGAAAACCACAGCTGTGCAACAGCTCTCAGAGACTTTTAAGGCTTTCTGCCCTGTTACTAACTAGACTGCTGCCCTTTTGATTACCTAAATGACTAACTTAATTTGTTTTTGTCTGTGCCTTAAGTAATGTCATGGATATAGAGTTAGGAGATCAGGCAAGAGGCCTTTTTTGTGTGTTTCAGAGTTTATTATAACTCAGTGGAGGTGGAGATGAGCCTACCTAGTGGTTCATGTTTCAGCTTCTCCCCAAGACAAGGCAGAAATGCCAGTGGAACACTGTTCTCATTCACTCTGCTTGAATGGCGGGGAATCCTCTTTTTACCTTTTAGTGGATAGCACAGTTAAGTGATTTAAATTGGGATCAGGTACTCAGCACCTCCACTTGGTCACATAGCCTGACAGGAAATAGCCATAACAGTTTGTACCCACTCTCACCTTTCCGTCTGTGATAAGGAGAGTGTATTCTGGTGTGCTTTTACCGCTTCTCTCACAGTGTCAGGATGCAATGGTTGGCTTGTTTGTATCATTCGGTCACCCAAGGCTAGACTCTTAGAGAATGTGTCATTGCAGCTGTTGAATAAGGTCCAGTTGCTCAAGTAACAGCATAAAACATTTTGGGAAGGATTTTGGTTCTGTGAGAGCACAGAAGAGAAGCCTTTATGTAGTTCTTCTGATGAAACAGTTCAGGAAGAATGCCCTCGAAGCTGCCAGTTCGATTGTTTGCAGCATGAGCTGAGATGTTAAAAAAAAAAAAAAAAGTTTACATAGCAAAGTTTAAAACTCAGTTTTAAAATTTGAGGTAGGAGTGCACACTATTCAGATTTAAATCTTTGGTAGCTTAGTGACCTAGGGTAAGTCACATTACCTGTCAGTCTGTCCCAATTGCATTCCCTATAAAATGGCAGTCATAACTATCTACCTCAAGGGTAGTTGTGAATTTACATGAGTTAATCCGTTGTAAAGTGTCTAGCACCAATTGTAGACACTTTACAACGTATTAACTCATGTAAATTATTCAATCGTAGTACAATTGAATAGTAAGTAGTAAGATTGAATAGTAAGTAGTAAGATATATGCACTTCTATAGCTGCGTAGTTATTAACCAAATTGGCTGTTCTGTAAGAGCATAGACTATAGTGTAGAAAGGAATCGTAATTAGACGAAATATTAATAGAAATCCCTCAGGACAGGTGGTTTTTTCTCTTCACACTCAAATGAAAGTGAGTTGTGATAGATCCCTGCCTGATACAGTAGAATCCATAGTCTAGGGTTTTGTCCATCTGCTCCTAGTTCGAAGTTACCTAATTTCTTTGAGTACAGTTTCCTCCCTAGTAATACAAAGTCATATGTATTTTGCTGGGCTTTTGGGGAGCTTGAATTAAATGGTAACACGTGAAGCAACCAGCATAGTGCCTGGTCCATCACAGGCAACTCAAGAGAAGAGAGGTGCCACCATCACCATCATCTGAGTAGCCACCTTTTCCCTCTGAAACAGTGGGGGACCATTGGTGTCAGTCTCCCATTGGGTAATTTTTCTTTACCTTCTCTATTATAAATTGGGACAAAGTTCCCGAACTGCTAAGAACCGCAAAGAATGAAGGACAACTCATAAAGGCAGGAGCAGTAGACTCCCAAGTAGAGTCTGCACTACTGACCTTCAGAACCTAACTGCCTCCCGTTGTCCCCTCCATGGACTGACTTTCTCACTCGTTACCCTGATACGTGTTTCATACTGCCCAGTTAACCAGTTTACTTCCCGTGTAGCCTGCATGTTTCTACCATACGAGCCACACCCTCTTCCTGGAATGACTTTTCACTTGCTTGTGCAAAAACTCTTCAAAAACCCTCACTCAGTCCTCTTAGAACAAACCTTGAGTCTCCCTTTGCTCCGGTGAGTCTTCAATTCTTCACCTTATTATTTCTTGTATCTTGTGTTTTCCTGTTGTCTTCAGATAGTGAACTCCTTAATTGCAGAGATTCTTTCCTGCTTCCTATGAAAAAACTATATGTGATGCTTTCCATATTTATGAGTAATCGATACATATTTACGGCTTGAGGTTTTAAAGTTCTTTTTTATTTGAAGTTTTAAAGTTCTTTTTTCTTTAAGAACAGTATGTAAAAAGTAAAGTAAATTGTGATGTGAGAGGAAAATAGCTCATAGCTCCATTACTCTGACATAAATTTTATTTTTGTATATTCCCTTGTCTTTTATATGAATGTATACAAGTACGAACTCTGATTTTTTTAGTAAGGTATAATTTACATACAATGGGATGCATATTGTTCTATCAGTTTTGACACATACATATACTCATGTAGCCTACACCTTTATCAAGGTATAGAAGATTCTTATCATTCCCAGAACATTCCCTCATGGCCCTTTCTAGGAGCCTCCTCTTCTCCTAGAAGCAAACACTGCTCTGATTTTTATCACCACAGGTTAGTTTTGTCTCTTCTAGAATTTCATAGAAATGGAAATAAACAGTACATTTCTTTTGTGTCTAGCTTCTTTCACATAGCATAATGTTTTTAAGATCCATCCACGTTATTTTATGTATACTCTGGTCTTTTCAACTGATGTCAGGCGCTTTTCTGTATTGCCTCATAGTCTTCATTGTGGTCATGTTTAGTGACTGTCGGGAAGTCTATCGAGTGGATTTATCATAATTTCACTTACCCTTAAACAGTGTTGTAGTGTAGCGAGGGTTTCATTGTCAGCTCTTTTCCCATCCATCCCATGGCTTCAAGTACAACCTATAGGCGTGATGACTTACTGATTTATTTCTCTAGTTCTCTCCTTCCCAAGCTGCAAACGTGCTTTTCCTAGTGAAGAGCTGCTCCAGAAGAGCCAATCCAATGTAATCAGACCTTCCTGACTCTCCAGCCCCTTGCTTCCGGAACACTCTGCAGTGTCTAATCATTCAAACCTATTCCTCAAAGTCTCTTCACCATCTTCTGTGGTGGCATTATTATTCACTTACCCCAAAAGCCAACAACTGAGGTCAGACTCCTTTTCCCCCATCCTTCACATGATATCAGTCTGTGTTCTAAATATTGCTCATATCTGGCTCTGCACAGCATTCTGGCTGCTGCTGCTCTAACTTAAGCCCCAAGACTTCTCATCTAGAACATATTACAATGATCACCTAACAGGTCACCTTGTCTCCAAGCCTGCTTCTCTCCATATGCTATCAGGATTGTATTTTAAATAAATCTCACATGTGTCTTCTACTGGCCATTTTTAACAAACATAAATGACTCCATTTTGGCTTTGAGAAAAAGTCCAGACATACTAAAGCCACCATGTATGATTTGACTATAACCTTGCAGTCCAACTTTATGATGTTTGGACGCTCATTTCCCTTTCTTCACATTTTCTTTCCCCTCGCCAGGTCCCAGCCATGGGTTTATTCATACCTCCTTTGCACATCCTTGTCACATGTTATCCTCCCTGCCTGAAATGCTCTCTACTCTTTCTACCACCTTTCTATTTTTTGCCCCTCAAATGCCTTCTCATTACTCATATTTTCAGTCCTACCTAAAATATCTTGTCTTCAATTGAGTTTCACCCAAACCTTTCAAGTAAGTTAATTAATTGTGACTTCTACTATGCCCTTCAAAGTTCTTTGCTCTTTTATTTGTTGATAGACCTCTTCTCACAGTCCAGAACTGTGAGCTCTTAAGGGCAAGGCCAGTCTCACCTTCATCTTTGTAGCTCTATAGCTAGCATCTCGTGTCTGGCACTAAGTACC